TGAAGTAATAAGCTTGACACACAAGATGAATAAAACACACTTATTAAAATTTAACAAATTTAATAATATCTCAAACACTGCAGGTTGTTCACCAGTCAGCTGTGAAACAAAAAAAGTAAAAGTTACGTTGCATTCTCTGGTGGACCGAGATCAGCTGTTAGCTGTAAACAAACCACAGGGCTAACATTAAGGTTGCTATGTGGCTGTGTTTTAATGAGCCGGTCCGTTTGTTTTGGAGAGGAGACGACCTCTGTGGTAATTCAGCTCCCGGTAGAACCCTGTCAGGGCTCTGAAGTGGACCCAGAACAATTCTCATCAGCTGTTAGCTGTAAACACTAGCAGGTCTTACGTTATAGTGCAGCTGTATTAAAACTATAACACAGCACTGCTAATAGATTTATTAAATGTCACAAAATTATCAATACAGATACTAAAGACATGTCGGTCCAGTGACTGTTACCTGACAACAGACTTGCCTCTCATTCCCCGGTGCTGGCAGTAAGTCAGCCTGCCGAGTGAAGACAGACTCCGAGGAGGACCCATGTGAGCGCTGAACCACAGTTGAGAGTCGTGAACTAATCAATTCTGTTTCCTGCGCTGACGGAGACCATGCAGCTGCAGTGTAACGAGTGAACCTAAGAATCCAAGACTATTCACGCATGCGTGAAAATTAACAAATTACTCACTGAGACAACCCGTTCCTCCTGAGTCACATACAAGATTAGGTCAGATGAATGAAACGTTCTTTGAACGACACAACACTACTCAGCTGCTCAAGCTGTAACTCAAATAGCCCAAATGACTGCTGAAAAGCTTAATTTTTTAAGGCAAACGTATTCTACCAATTAACAATACCTCAAAAAGCCATGTGTAGTGGTAAAGAGACAGTCCTCAGAGTACCACTTCATGCATCAGACATTGATTTGTTTCACAATATTAAAATATTATAGCTTGTGAATTTACACAGCTGTTTCTGTTTGAGCTTGATGCTGACAAAATGTGGAGTCCTTACTGACTTTCAGTTGTTACTTTCAAAATTCTACATTGTTAGTCTTTCTAAATGCAATCAATGTTCACATGACATTAAGTCTTTCAAAGCATAACTCTTTGGCTGTTCATTTTATTCTTTAACAGTGTTCTCATCAAATAAAAGGCACTTCACTCCTGGTTTCAATAGTAAACCACCACAAGAATGACAATTACCAACAAAAACCCACTGTTTTCTAAGCAGATATGTTTAACAAAAACATAATAAATAACATTTGTATTTCAAACAAATTTTAACAAAACTTTATTCAACACCATGCATCATGGGAATTTTGAGGGATGGGGTGATATAGAGCAGCCTACATCCAACCCTCTAAATTCCCATGATGCATGGCGGTGAAGAAAGTTTTTTCAAATTTGCTAATAAGTCTCCTATTTGTTTGAAACACAAAAGTTACTTTGTGATTTATATTTTGCTAAACGTGTTTGCTTAGAATATTGTGTTTTATTTTGTTATTGCTCTGCTGGCACCTGGTCGTTTTGCAATGGCGAGCTACCATAACGTAAACTCATGTCACCACATTGTCAGTACCCACCCTAATAGACTGTTTGGATAAGAAGCAACTTGCACTGCATCATCAGTGTCCCTTTTGTGACCTTTTTTTAAGTAGTTAGTTATATTGTGAAAAAAAAGCTAAATCATGACAATTAAGTATTAGTATTACATATTTCAAGTAAAAGTTGTATAATATATATATCAAATTTTTTTGTATGTCATAGTTATTACATTTAGGTATCCTACACTCAAAATGTGTGGTGTTATCTACCCAAACAATTATGGTGCAAATTGTTACCTCATGTTTATTGAGTAAATTCTATAGGTTGTTTGTTACAGTGCAGTATGTCCTGTCCCAGAGGTTAGCCTTACTCGTTGTCTGCTCCTGAGAAAGACGCCGTGCAAGAAGAACATATACTCACCGGCCACTTTATTAGGTACACCTCGCTAGTTGGACCCTATTTTGCCTTCAGAACTACCTTAATTCTTCGTGGCATACATTAAACAAGGTGTTTGAAACATTGGTCTATATTGACCTGATAGCATCATGCAGTTGCTGCAGATTTGTCGGCAGTGCATCCATAATCTCGTTCCACCACATCCTAAAGATGCTCTATTGGATTGAGATCTGGTGACTGCGGAGGCCAGTGGAGTACAGTGGACTCATTGTCATGTTCAAGAAACCAGATTGAGAGTATTTGAGGATTTGATGGGTACACTGAGGTCATAAAGAGATTTTTCCAATCTTCTATTCTTCTAGCAGTTCTAGCAATAGTAGCCTCAGTTTCCTGTTGTTAGCTGACAGGAGTGGTCTTCTGCTACTGTAGTCCATCTGCTTCAAAGTTCAACATGTTGTGCGTTCAGACTTGGTATTCTGCATACCTTGATTGTAACGACTGGTTATTTGAGTTACTGTTGCCTTTCTGTCATCTTGAACCAGTCTGCCCATTCTCCTCTGACCTCTGACCTCAACAAGGCATTTTGGTCCTAACAACTGCTGCTCACTTTATATTTTCTCTTTTTTGGACCATTTTCTGTAAACCCTACAGATGGTTGTGTGAGAAAATCCCAGTAGATCATCAGTTTCTGAAATACTCAGACCAGCACGTCTGGCACCAACAACCATGCCATGTTCAAAGTCACTCAAATCCCCTTTCTGCCCCATTCTGATGCTCGAGCTGAACTTCAGCAAGTTGTCTTGACCACGTCTACATGCCTTAATGCATAGAGTTGCTGCCATGTGATTGGCTGATTAGCTATTTGTCTTAACATGAAATTGAACAGGTGTACCTTGTAAAGCGGCCAGTGAGCGTAGACCATCAACCCCGCTGGTTCTTCTTTGTGGACAAAAAGGATAAGATTCTCTGCCCCTGTATTAATTACTGTGACTTGAATGACATCACCATGAAGAACACAGATACCCCCTCCCTTTTGTCTCCTCTGCTTAAAAACTTTTGAAGGACTAGTGCAGTACCTGTTTACAGGGGCCGATGTGACGGCTCCTTGCACTTTATGCATCTCACATTGGTGTCACCTACAGCAGTGGTAAATCAATCGTCAATCACCGGGACGCACACACTCAAGCTCATGCTTTATTGTTAGCATGTGAAATGGTCTCTTCATAGTTAATTATTTGAATAGGGAAAAATATGTTCATGCAAGGGGTGACCACACAACTATCCAGTTTAAAGGCCTGTGCACTACTGACTGAGCTAACCGGACATGTAATCTTAGTTGCTGACCCCTAACCTATAGCATTAATAACACAGCATTAATAAAACTGAAGCAACACGACAATTGTGGAGATACTGCTAGATAATCAGCGCTTCCTTAGAACTTCATAAAACTCTTACAATTCTGTTTCACCACATTCGTTTCTAACGCATATCAAACCAGTGAGATGATGATAACTCCATTATCAATTTACTACCAACGCAACACTGCAACAGACCTGCCAGATTTGAAATCGATAGGATGAACGGTTCCTGGCATAATCTAATTACAGACAGACAGACACACACATATTTCCCGTGTTCAGGCTTTACATTCTTCTTGCAATACCATTTTAAACACCCCTAAAAAGGACCGTACCATTTCCTAACCTTGATGTTATTTGAACGTCTTGTCTGCCTGCATCACTCCCAGCTGCTCCAGTCCAGTGCATCACACGCGAATGGAGACACTGTAGTAGTAGTTTAAAGTAGCTTCTTTAAAACACATTCCATTAACTTAAAATGAGCCATCTAATCTTACCTAGCTGATAGCCCACCCTGTCCTATTTTTTATGCAATTGATCCTTTGCTAAGCCACACACCCCTTACACACACACTGTCTGTAACTGCACTCCCTGGAGAAATATTGTCTAAGTTTTGGAAAAATGAAAAAAGCGATCACAGATAGGAGCAAGAAAAGTTTGCATTATGCATTTGAAGGTTGTATTCTGGCTGTCAAACTGACATGAAACAAATAAAGACAGAAGCTAAAGCCTACCAATCACAGAGTAAAAGTGAACCACCGCATCACCTGACGATTGAGACAAAGGACAACGATATTAAGAATACACACTGTTCCTGTAAAGCTTGGTAGGTCTCTATTCATTATTGCAATCATTAAAAAGCAAATTACATCATTGCACTAGGAAAAATCCACAGCCTACTTTTTTCTGGATTTGTTGTAGGTTTTGAAAAGGGAAATCGTACTTCATACGAATCGTACAAGTGCCCCAGGAACAGCGTTTGAACATCTTCATAATATCAAGGAGATATTTGCTAAAAAAAAAAAAGAGTAAATTGAAACTTAGTTCACTGAAGCACACGCCTGCGCTGTACTGGGTTTCCTTATGACCTGGAAAATAAGTTGACTCGTTCACACCATGAGGAAACTCGTGTCCAACTCAAATATGTGAGTTTATTTCTCTAGTGTCTCTTCCCTGGGTTTTGTTTTCTCCGCCGACCACATCCTGATGTACCCTGCTGAAGACAGTGCTGTGGCAGAGTGGTCCACCAGTTGTAAATTGGTTAAATGACTTCTGGGGTTTGAAAACTTTTTAAGACGTTTAATCAGGAACTTCAGTGCTATTGCCACACATTTGCAAGCATTAACCTCCCTCATGTCAAGTTTCGGCAGTCTCTGCAGGCTGAAGGACAGCTTCACCTCAGCACCACTCCTCACTCTATCAAACTATTTATTTCATTGTCAGAGCTTGTCACGCTGGTAAAACTTCTTTCAACATTCCATTTTGGTGGAATACAGCAGTTCCTTCTTTGACAGGACAAAAGAAGGGCGTGTGTAATAATATGGAGCCAAAAACAATAACTTGAGTTTAGATTAGAAATTCTCTATCTTGTGTGTTTGTCACACATCAACATTTCTGAAGTATTTATAGTGTATGAGTCACATGGTTAGCCTCCATTCCAATATAAAGGCCTTAATAGATGTTGACTGTCACATGAGGTGACAGCTTTACAGTATCACCTATGAACTAGACAGAAGTGGAAGACACCAACATAGTTTTAAAACAAACAACTGAGAAACTACAGATAGAGAAAGGGATATTATAACTTTTCATTTTGGGTAAGTACATTTTTAAGAATATACACTTTTTTTCATTTTTACATGTATTCATTGTATATTGTATGTATGCATTTCTATTTCTTTGTAAATTATGTGTAATTCATGTATATTACCACATACCTAAAGTGATAATAAGTGATTGCCACATGAAGTCATTAGTATATTTTCAAAATATTATATATGTAAAAATACTGTATTTTTATATAATGCTTTAACAGTTAGATTTTATGATACTAGAGGTTCTCTGATAATGTAGTTTATTCCCCAATTACAAGTTCTACTTCAGTATTTTCCCATGTCTATTATCATGACACATCCGCCTTTGTTTTTATAGCTTGGTGGAATAAAGCACTGGTTTAGGTACAAACAAACCAAAATTCTATAATTAAATTCAGATGAACAAAAGTATAATAATTTATGAAATATCAATATGTGATGTGAGTGTTTAGGTTTGTTAAAGATCAAAGTTTCCTCACTCAGCCCACCTGCACGTTCAAGTACTCTGCTTTTTGAGGTAGTACATGTTGACATGTGTATTTTATCAGTTCTAGCTAATTTGATGCAGAATTGGAATCTAAAGACTCAAGAAATTGAAGATGAAATATGGGAAGCAAAATATTTGACAGCAAGATAGACACAGGTGGAATTTGTCAGAAAGGTTTCAGTTTAAGCACTAAATTCTGACAACTTTACATCGTTTCTTTTTGTTTTTGTATTGCATTGGCTTTAGGAGACTGAAATTAGGTGTTGTGTTGGGAATTTTTTTCAACAAATACATAATTGCCACTCTACCCATTTACTAGAATTTGAAACATTGCTGGTAATCTTTTGGTCCATAGTACAGCCAAGATTTATCAGTGTGGTTATTTTATTATGGTATTTTTTCAGAACTTGACATTAATGAAAATGTAATGTATACAATGTAATAAAACATAGATGAGTTTCAAAGGAGTAAAAGTAGCATTTTATCAACGCTGTTTAAAAGTGTAAAATATATTTGATGTCAGGGTAATTGTGAAGGAGACACATACTGTATTGTAGTCACTTATTTTGTATTTGTATACTTTTTTAACATTGAGTTGTAAAGGATCAAAATATAATGAATTCAGTCATTTGCACTGAAAGTAAGTTGTATACTGGTAGAAATTGCATTTTCTTTTAAATAATCTACTTCATTTAAAATACAAATGGACAGAGATACAGAGAACAAACAAAATCATATAAATGTTTGCATATTGTAAATATTATCCACTTGACATTTTTTAATACTCTGTATTCTCACAGAAATTCCAGCATTATTATTATAGCGAAAGCAATGGTTATAGTAGCTAGCAACTGTAGTCCAAAAGGTTATCACATGCTCTTTCTTTGTCTGAGTAAGTTGTGTAACTGTATTGTTTGATTTGATAGATACAAGTGAAGACAAGATGGGCACCAGATGGATCATATCAGTTGTCCTGATTCTAATGGGTAAGCTGAGTGATTTTAAACCCTTTCTCTCTTTTTACAAAATATTAGAAAAGGTGTGGGTGTAATGATAGCCAGCTAGGCAGTGAGTAAACCTCACTCCCTGACGCCATAAGAGATGTATTAACATGATGCATGCAGAAGTGGATCCTGTGGGCTGGGGGCAGAGAGCGGACAGATTGATGAAATCAGGGCTCCAAAACTCAGTAAAGGACTGGCAAGCAGCGTCTTCGCAATTGGGCTGAGATCTGAGTACAAGCAAAAAAACACAGGCAGCCAGTACAGTCAAAAAGCTGGATCAAAAAACTCCTACAATCTAGAAAATAGATTGGTACCACTGTGGGTTAAATTGACGATCTGGTGCTGACGGGAAGTTGAGCCGTAGCTTTATTGAAGAGGTTGATAAAAGGGATGAGCTTCAGGTGTTGAACGCTACAGAAGCTCAGCTGGAGCGCCCTGCCTATGACCACACAAACTCTCACACACACATTAGACCGACGATGACTGACAGGAACGATAAGGAAAGGGACAGAGGAAACACAAGGACTGAGGAGGTGCCAGATCACGGCACTGCTACCTGAAAAGAGTGTCCTGCCTTAAACAGTAACTTCATAATTTTGATCGTATGCTCCTCATCTAATAACTATCCATTCTATTAGTTTGTTGTATGCTGATAGATCTTTACATGATACAGACAGCCCTCCCTCAAATGTGAACTGATAATTCTGTAGAAATCTGTAGAGTATGAAACTGCGTGAGTGTAATGTTTTAATATATGTAACGTTTTGTTAAACGTTTTTTAGTAATCAATTGAGAGGACACTTTTTTCACTTGAACCCCTCTCCCACAAAATGTTTGTGCACATCTCTGTCAACGGCCAAATCTTGTTGGTAGCGTATTGACTGCATTTGTAAGTAACTTTAAAGTGTCATTGTTGTATTTCTCTATTTAGTCTATTGGACTCTTCTATTATTTGTAAAAGGATTGAGAGGTAAAGGTGCAACTGCAGATTGGGGCTGGGGAAGAGAGGTAATAATCCAAGACAAAAAATAGTTTTACATTTATGGGGGAAACAAATAACAAATCTCTTCGACACTGTAGTTATAGATTTTATAAAAATTTTAAAATGTGTTTTTTGTCAAGGAAGCACTTCACTTGACTAGGTTAGATGATATGATGTGGTGTGATATAATGTTTATTGTGCACAACAGCAGCAACAACGGCACCTGCTACGGCAGAAATAACTGCACCTGCTTCGACATCAACCACTGTGTCAACACAGAAACCTGCTACTTCAACAAAGACACCTGCTCCAACAAGTGCAAAAGCAACAACACGTGCTGCAACAACAACTTCTCCAAAAACAACTGTAGTAACAACAGTGTCAAAAACAACGACGCATGCTCCGACAACAACTCCAAAAACAACAACCCGTGCTCGGACAACAACTCCAAAACCAACAACCCGTGCTCGGACAACTCCAAAACCAACAACCCGTGCTCGGAAAACTCCAAAACCAACAACCCGTGCTCGGAAAACTCCAAAACCAACAACCCGTGCTCGGAAAACTCCAAAACCAACAACCCGTGCTCCGACAACTCCAAAACCAACAACCCGTGCTCCGACAACTCCAAAACCAACAACCCGTGCTCCGACAACTCCAAAACCAACAACCCGTGTTCCCACAACTCCAAAACCAACAACCCGTGCTCCGACAACTCCAAAACCAACAACCCGTGTTCCGACAACTCCAAAACCAACAACCCGTGTTCCGACAACTCCAAAACCAACAACCCGTGCTCCGACAACTCCAAAACCAACAACCCGTGCTCCGACAACTCCAAAACCAACAACCCGTGTTCCCACAACTCCAAAACCAACAACCCGTGCTCCGACAACTCCAAAACCAACAACCCGTGTTCCGACAACTCCAAAACCAACAACCCGTGCTCCGACAACTCCAAAACCAACAACCCGTGCTCCGACAACTCCAAAACCAACAACCCGTGTTCCGACAACTCCAAAACCAACAACCCGTGCTCCGACAACTCCAAAACCAACAACCCGTGCTCCGACAACTCCAAAACCAACAACAACAACACCTGCTCCAATAAATGAGTCAACAACAACACCTGGCCCGACAACAACAACCGAGGCAACCACGACACCTGGCCCGACAACAACAACCGAGGCAACCACGACACCTGGCCCGACAACAACAACCGAGGAAACCACGACACCTGGCCCGACAACAACTACCGAGGAAACCACGACACCTGGCCCGACAACAACAACCGAGGCAACCACGACACCTGCCCCGACAACAACAACCGAGGAAACCACGACACCTGCCCCGACAACAACTACCGAGGCAACCACGACACCTGCCCCGACAACAACTACCGAGGCAACCACGACACCTGCCCCGACAACAACAACCGAGGAAACCACGACACCTGCCCCGACAACAACTACCGAGGAAACCACGACACCTGCCCCGACAACAACTACCGAGGAAACCACGACACCTGCCCCGACAACAACAACCGAGGAAACCACGACACCTGCCCCGACAACAACTACCGAGGCAACCACGACACCTGCCCCGACAACAACTACCGAGGCAACCACGACACCTGCCCCGACAACAACAACCGAGGCAACCACGACACCTGGCCCGACAACAACTACCGAGGCAACCACGACACCTGGCCCGACAACAACTACCGAGGAAACCACGACACCTGCCCCGACAACAACTACCGAGGCAACCACGACACCTGGCCCGACAACAACTACCGAGGCAACCACGACACCTGCCCCGACAACAACAACCGAGGAAACCACGACACCTGCCCCGACAACAACTACCGAGGCAACCACGACACCTGCCCCGACAACAACAACCGAGGAAACCACGACACCTGGCCCGACAACAACTACCGAGGCAACCACGACACCTGGCCCGACAACAACAACAACCGAGGAAACCACGACACCTGGCCCGACAACAACTACCGAGGAAACCACGACACCTGGCCCGACAACAACAACCGAGGCAACCACGACACCTGCCCCGACAACAACTACCGAGGCAACCACGACACCTGCCCCGACAACAACAACCGAGGAAACCACGACACCTGGCCCGACAACAACTACCGAGGCAACCACGACACCTGCCCCGACAACAACAACCGAGGAAACCACGACACCTGCCCCGACAACAACTACCGAGGAAACCACGACACCTGCCCCGACAACAACTACCGAGGAAACCACGACACCTGCCCCGACAACAACAACCGAGGAAACCACGACACCTGCCCCGACAACAACAACCGAGGAAACCACGACACCTGCCCCGACAACAACTACCGAGGCAACCACGACACCTGCCCCGACAACAACAACCGAGGAAACCACGACACCTGGCCCGACAACAACTACCGAGGCAACCACGACACCTGGCCCGACAACAACAACAACCGAGGAAACCACGACACCTGGCCCGACAACAACTACCGAGGAAACCACGACACCTGGCCCGACAACAACAACCGAGGCAACCACGACACCTGCCCCGACAACAACAACCGAGGAAACCACGACACCTGCCCCGACAACAACTACCGAGGCAACCACGACACCTGCCCCGACAACAACTACCGAGGCAACCACGACACCTGCCCCGACAACAACAACCGAGGCAACCACGACACCTGGCCCGACAACAACTACCGAGGCAACCACGACACCTGGCCCGACAACAACTACCGAGGCAACCACGACACCTGCCCCGACAACAACAACCGAGGAAACCACGACACCTGGCCCGACAACAACTACCGAGGCAACCACGTCACCTGCCCCGACAACAACTACCGAGGAAACAACGACTCCTGCTCCAAAACTGAACCAACAATAACACCTGCTCCAACAACTGAAGGAACAACCACCACAGTGACGTTCAGATCTGTTCAAAGCACATTCACAAGTGACTTGAACAATCAATCATCTGCAGCATTTAGAGATCGAGTTTCAATGATAAAGTCACAGGTAAGTCAAACCCTTAGAATAAAATCTTCTGGTACAAATACTGAACTTTTTCAACAGAGAGCTCAAGCCCCATTCAGAGAACTGAAAGGTTATGGTAACACTTTAAAACACAGTTAATACTCGTTTTACTTTATTTTTGTATCTTTCTAGGTTTGTATATTTCTAGGTGTTAATTTTTTCCAAATGTTTGTTTTCCAGTAAGTAACCAGTATTTACAAAAATAGTATAATTTACTCCATTGTTCCCTACAGTCTTGTTTCTAAGTAAATTGTTTATTGAAACTTGATTCATACAGCAGAATTAGATTAGGGCTTTATTTTAAGTGTTACCACTATCATCACTAAAACCAAGTTTCAGAAAGTATCAATAACCTTCATAAATAAGCATTAAGGCATGCTTAACTTCAATACTTGTACAGTATACAATAAAACATACAGTACGAAGAATTGAAACACAGCTAGTGAATGGTCAATTCCCCAAGTAGAAATTCCCCACATAGAAAGGAATCGCATACCAGTTGAAAAAATGTGCACACTGCCCAGAAATACACGTGAAGACACTTAATGTTACTGCAAAAACTGAATAGGTCATCTATTATTTTTTTAATCCTGTGGTGGTTCTCATCATTATTTTTCCTCCTGTCTGTCGGTCTCCTGGACACAGTTAGATTTCTGCACTACAGAAAGTACAGAAAACAAAATAAAAATAAAAAACTGTAAAATAAGGAAATATAATGACAAACTGGAATATTTGCATTTCCTGATCAAAATACAGGTACAGAAGTGCTGCTGCAGAATAATAATAGTAATTGCTACATGAAATAAAGAGCCAAGATAACTAAACTACACCTCCAGCTCACTGTACAACTTAGGCAAACATAGGTGAAACGTGTTTAAGTACCATTTGTTTTCTGTTTCTGCAGCTTGAACCTGTGTTCCACATGGCTTTCCCTTCCTCCTTCATGTCCCTGGACGTGTTGTCATTCAGGTAATTTGTTAAGACTTTTAAGAAATTTTAAGAGTAGTGACCAAAATGTGATATTTCAAAATTATTTTGTGTTTCTCCATCTGCAGAAATGGATCAGTCATCAATAACGTGAACCTTCTCTTTGCAAGCACATCTGTTCCTAATAATGTTGAGATTGGGAGGGTTTTGATCAATGATAGTTTAAACGTCACTGGCTTCGACATTGAAAGGAACTCAATCAAAGTGAATGACACCCTATATTCTGATCTACCTGCCCCGACAACAACTACCGAGGCAACCACGACACCTGCCCCGACAACAACTACCGAGGCAACCACGACACCTGCCCCGACAACAACCGAGGAAACCACGACACCTGCCCCGACAACAACTACCGAGGCAACCACGACACCTGCCCCGACAACAACTACCGAGGCAACCACGACACCTGCCCCGACAACAACAACCGAGGCAACCACGACACCTGCCCCGACAACAACTACCGAGGCAACCACGACACCTGCCCCGACAACAACTACCGAGGCAACCACGACACCTGCCCCGACAACAACTACCGAGGAAACCACGACACCTGCCACGACACCTGCCCTGACAACAACAACCGAGGAAACCACGACACCTGCCCCGACAACAACAACCGAGGAAACCACGACACCTGCCCCGACAACAACTACCGAGGCAACCACGACACCTGCCCCGACAACAACTACCGAGGAAACCACGACACCTGGCCCGACAACAACTACCGAGGAAACCACGACACCTGGCCCGACAACAACAACCGAGGCAACCACGACACCTGCCCCGACAACAACTACCGAGGAAACCACGGCACCTGCCCCGACAACAACAACCGAGGAAACCACGACACCTGCCCCGACAACAACTACCGAGGAAACCACGACACCTGCCCCGACAACAACTACCGAGGCAACCACGACACCTGCCCCGACAACAACAACCGAGGAAACCACGACACCTGCCCCGACAACAACTACCGAGGCAACCACGACACCTGCCCCGACAACAACTACCGAGGAAACCACGACACCTGCCCCGACAACAACTACCGAGGCAACCACGACACCTGCCCCGACAACAACAACCGAGGAAACCACGACACCTGGCCCGACAACAACTACCGAGGCAACCACGACACCTGCCCCGACAACAACAACCGAGGAAACCACGACACCTGCCCCGACAACAACTACCGAGGAAACCACGACACCTGCCCCGACAACAACTACCGAGGCAACCACGACACCTGCCCCGACAACAACAACCGAGGAAACCACGACACCTGGCCCGACAACAACTACCGAGGCAACCACGACACCTGCCCCGACAACAACAACCGAGGAAACCACGACACCTGCCCCGACAACAACAACCGAGGAAACCACGACACCTGGCCCGACAACAACAACCGAGGAAACCACGACACCTGCCCCGACAACAACTACCGAGGCAACCACGACACCTGCCCCGACAACAACAACCGAGGAAACCACGACACCTGCCCCGACAACAACTACCGAGGCAACCACGACACCTGCCCCGACAACAACAACCGAGGAAACCACGACACCTGCCCCGACAACAACTACCGAGGCAACCACGACACCTGCCCCGACAACAACTACCGAGGCAACCACGACACCTGCCCCGACAACAACAACCGAGGAAACCACGACACCTGCCCCGACAACAACAACCGAGGCAACCACGACACCTGCCCCGACAACAACCACCGAGGCAACCACGACACCTGCCCCGACAACAACTACCGAGGAAACCACGACACCTGCCCCGACAACAACTACCGAGGCAACCACGACACCTGGCCCGACAACAACAACCGAGGCAACCACGACACCTGGCCCGACAACAACAACCGAGGAAACCACGACACCTGCCCCGACAACAACTACCGAGGCAACCACGACACCTGCCCCGACAACAACTACCGAAGAAACCACGACACCTGCCCCGACAACAACTACCGAGGCAACCACGACACCTGGCCCGACAACAACAACCGAGGAAACCACGACACCTGCCCCGACAACAACTACCGAGGAAACCACGACACCTGCCCCGACAACAACTACCGAGGAAACCACGACACCTGGCCCGACAACAACAACCGAGGAAACCACGACACCTGCCCCGACAACAACTACCGAGGCAACCACGACACCTGGCCCGACAACAACTACCGAGGCAACCACGACACCTGCCCCGACAACAACCGAGGAAACCACGACACCTGGCCCGACAACAACTACCGAGGAAACCACGACACCTGCCCCGACAACAACTACCGAGGCAACCACGACACCTGCCCCGACAACAACTACCGAGGCAACCACGACACCTGCCCCGACAACAACAACAACCGAGGAAACCACGACACCTGGCCCGACAACAACTACTGAGGAAACCACGACACCTGCCCCGACAACAACTACCGAGGCAACCACAACACCTGCCCCGACAACAACAACTGAGGAAACCACGACACCTGGCCCGACAACAACTACCGAGGCAACCACGACACCTGCCCCGACAACAACTACCGAGGAAACCACGACACCTGCCCCGACAACAACAACCGAGGAAACCACGACACCTGCCCCGACAACAACTACCGAGGAAACCACGACACCTGCCCCGACAACAACAACCGAGGAAACCACGACACCTGCCCCGACAACAACAACCGAGGAAACCACGACACCTGCCCCGACAACAACTACCGAGGCAACCACGACACCTGCCCCGACAACAACTACCGAGGAAACAACGACTCCTGCTCCAAAAACTGAACCAACAATAACACCTGCTCCAACAACTGAAGGAACAACCACCATGGTGACGTTCAGATCTGTTCAAAGCACATTCACAAGTGACTTGAACAATCAATCATCTGCAGCATTTAGACATCGAGTTTCAATGATAAAGTCACAGGTAAGTCAAACCCTTAGAATAAAATCTTCTGGTACAAATACTGAACTTTTTCAACAGAGAGCTCAAGCCCCCATTCAGAGAACTGAAAGGTTATGGTAACACTTTAAAACACAGTTAATACTCGTTTTACTTTATTTTTGTATCTTTCTAGGTTTGTATATTTCTAGGTGTTAATTTTTTCCAAATGTTTGTTTTCCAGTAAGTAACCAGTATTTACAAAAATAGTATAATTTACTCCATTGTTCCCTACAGTCTTGTTTCTAAGTAAATTGTTTATTGAAACTTGATTCATACAGCAGAATTAGATTAGGGCTTTATTTTAAGTGTTACCACTGTCATCACTAAAACCAAGTTTCAGAAAGTATCAATAACCTTCATAAATAAGCATTAAGGCATGCTTAACTTCAATACTTGTACAGTATACAATAAAACATACAGTACGAAGAATTGAAACACAGCTAGTGAATGGTCAATTCCCCAAGTAGAAATTCCCCACATAGAAAGGAATCGCATACCAGTTGAAAAAATGTGCACACTGCCCAGAAATACACGTGAAGACACTTAATGTTACTGCAAAAAATGAATAGGTCATCTATTATTTTTTTAATCCTGTGGTGGTTCTCATCATTATTTTTCCTCCTGTCTGTCGGTCTCCTGGACACAGTTAGATTTCTGCACTACAGAAAGTACAGAAAACAAAATAAAAATAAAAAACTGTAAAATAAGGAAATATAATGACAAACTGGAATATTTGCATTTCCTGATCAAAATACAGGTACAGAAGTGCTGCTGCAGAATAATAATAGTAATTGCTACATGAAATAAAGAGCCAAGATAACTAAACTACACCTCCAGCTCACTGTACAACTTAGGCAAACATAGGTGAAACGTGTTTAAGTACCATTTGTTTTCTGTTTCTGCAGCTTGAACCTGTGTTCCACATGGCTTTCCCTTCCTCCTTCATGTCCCTGGACGTGTTGTCATTCAGGTAATTTGTTAAGACTTTTAAGAAATTTTAAGAGTAGTGACCAAAATGTGATATTTCAAAATTATTTTGTGTTTCTCCATCTGCAGAAATGGATCAGTCATCAATAACGTGAACCTTCTCTTTGCAAGCACATCTGTTCCTAATAATGTTGAGATTGGGAGGGTTTTGATCAATGATAGTTTAAACGTCACTGGCTTCGACATTGAAAGGAACTCAATCAAAGTGAATGACACCCTATATTCTGATCTACCTGCCCCGACAACAACTACCGAGGCAACCACGACACCTGCCCCGACAACAACAACCGAGGCAACCACGACACCTGCCCCGACAACAACTACCGAGGCAACCACGACACCTGCCCCGACAACAACTACCGAGGCAACCACGACACCTGCCCCGACAACAACTACCGAGGCAACCACGACACCTGCCCCGACAACAACAACCGAGGCAACCACGACACCTGCCCCGACAACAACTACCGAGGCAACCACGACACCTGCCCCGACAACAACAACAGAGGAAACCACGACACCTGCCCCGACAACAACTACCGAGGCAACCACGACACCTGCCCCGACAACAACTACCGAGGCAACCACGACACCTGCCCCGACAACAACTACCGAGGAAACCACGACACCTGGCCCGACAACAACTACCGAGGAAACCACGGCACCTGCCCCGACAACAACTACCGAGGCAACCACGACACCTGCCCCGACAACAACAACCGAGGCAACCACGACACCTGCCCCGACAACAACTACCGAGGCAACCACGACACCTGCCCCGACAACAACAACCGAGGAAACCACGACACCTGCCCCGACAACAACAACCGAGGAAACCACGACACCTGCCCCGACAACAACTACCGAGGCAACCACGACACCTGCCCCGACAACAACTACCGAGGCAACCACGACACCTGCCCCGACAACAACTACCGAGGCAACCACGACACCTGCCCCGACAACAACAACCGAGGAAACCACGACACCTGCCCCGACAACAACTACCGAGGCAACCACGACACCTGCCCCGACAACAACTACCGAGGAAACCACGACACCTGCCCCGACAACAACTACCGAGGAAACCACGACACCTGCCCCGACAACAACAACCGAGGAAACCACGACACCTGGCCCGACAACAACTACCGAGGCAACCACGACACCTGCCCCGACAACAACAACCGAGGAAACCACGACACCTGCCCCGACAACAACTACCGAGGCAACCACGACACCTGCCCGACAACAACTACCGAGGCAACCACGACACCTGCCCCGACAACAACAACCGAGGCAACCACGACACCTGCCCCGACAACAACAACCGAGGAAACCACGACACCTGGCCCGACAACAACTACCGAGGAAACCACGACACCTGCCCCGACAACAACTACCGAGGAAACCACGACACCTGCCCCGACAACAACTACCGAGGCAACCACGACACCTGCCCCGACAACAACAACCGAGGAAACCACGACACCTGCCCCGACAACAACTACCGAGGCAACCACGACACCTGCCCCGACAACAACTACCGAGGCAACCACGACACCTGCCCCGACAACAACAACCGAGGCAACCACGACACCTGCCCCGACAACAACAACCGAGGCAACCACGACACCTGCCCCGACAACAACCACCGAGGCAACCACGACACCTGCCCCGACAACAACTACCGAGGAAACCACGACACCTGCCCCGACAACAACTACCGAGGCAACCACGACACCTGGCCCGACAACAACAACCGAGGAAACCACGACACCTGGCCCGACAACAACAACCGAGGAAACCACGACACCTGGCCCGACAACAACAACCGAGGAAACCACGACACCTGCCCCGACAACAACTACCGAGGCAACCACGACACCTGCCCCGACAACAACAACCGAGGAAACCACGACACCTGCCCCGACAACAACTACCGAGGCAACCACGACACCTGCCCCGACAACAACAACCGAGGAAACCACGACACCTGCCCCGACAACAACTACCGAGGCAACCACGACACCTGCCCCGACAACAACTACCGAGGCAACCACGACACCTGCCCCGACAACAACAACCGAGGCAACCACGACACCTGCCCCGACAACAACTACCGAGGCAACCACGACACCTGCCCCGACAACAACTACCGAGGAAACCACGACACCTGCCCCGACAACAACTACCGAGGCAACCACGACACCTGGCCCGACAACAACAACCGAGGAAACCACGACACCTGGCCCGACAACAACAACCGAGGAAACCACGACACCTGCCCCGACAACAACTACCGAGGAAACCACGACACGTGGCCCGACAACAACAACCGAGGAAACCACGACACCTGCCCCGACAACAACTACCGAGGCAACCACGACACCTGGCCCGACAACAACTACCGAGGAAACCACGACACCTGCCCCGACAACAACCGAGGAAACCACGACACCTGGCCCGACAACAACCGAGGAAACCACGACACCTGGCCCGACAACAACTACCGAGGAAACCACGACACCTGCCCCGACAACAACTACCGAGGCAACCACGACACCTGCCCCGACAACAACAACCGAGGAAACCACGACACCTGCCCCGACAACAACAACAACCGAGGAAACCACGACACCTGGCCCGACAACAACTACCGAGGAAACCACGACACCTGGCCCGACAACAACAACCGAAGAAACCACGACACCTGCCCCGACAACAACTACCGAGGCAACCACGACACCTGCCCCGACAACAACAACCGAGGAAACCACGACACCTGCCCCGACAACAACTACCGAGGAAACCACGACACCTGCCCCGACAACAACTACCGAGGAAACCACGACACCTGGCCCGACAACAACAACCGAGGAAACCACGACACCTGCCCCGACAACAACTACCGAGGCAACCACAACACCTGCCCCGACAACAACAACCGAGGAAACCACGACACCTGCCCCGACAACAACAACCGAGGAAACCACGACACCTGCCCCGACAACAACTACCGAGGAAACCACGACACCTGCCCCGACAACAACAACCGAGGAAACCACGACACCTGCCCCGACAACAACAACCGAGGAAACCACGACACCTGCCCCGACAACAACTACCGAGGCAACCACGACACCTGCCCCGACAACAACTACCGAGGAAACAACGACTCCTGCTCCAAAAACTGAACCAACAATAACACCTGCTCCAACAACTGAAGGAACAACCACCATGGTGACGTTCAGATCTGTTCAAAGCACATTCACAAGTGACTTGAACAATCAATCATCTGCAGCATTTAGACATCGAGTTTCAATGATAAAGTCACAGGTAAGTCAAACCCTTAGAATAAAATCTTCTGGTACAAATACTGAACTTTTTTAACAGAGAGCTCAAGCCCCCATTCAGAGAACTGAAAGGTTATGGTAACACTTTAAAACACAGTTAATACTCGTTTTACTTTATTTTGTATCTTTCTAGGTTTGTATATTTCTAGGTGTTAATTTTTTCCAAATGTTTGTTTTCCAGTAAGTAACCAGTATTTACAAAAATAGTATAATTTACTCCATTGTTCCCTACAGTCTTGTTTCTAAGTAAATTGTTTATTGAAACTTGATTCATACAGCAGAATTAGATTAGGGCTTTATTTTAAGTGTTACCACTGTCATCACTAAAACCAAGTTTCAGAAAGTATCAATAACCTTCATAAATAAGCATTAAGGCATGCTTAACTTCAATACTTGTACAGTATACAATAAAACATACAGTACGAAGAATTGAAACACAGCTAGTGAATGGTCAATTCCCCAAGTAGAAATTCCCCACATAGAAAGGAATCGCATACCAGTTGAAAAAATGTGCACACTGCCCAGAAATACACGTGAAGACACTTAATGTTACTGCAAAAATGAATAGGTCATCTATTATTTTTTTAATCCTGTGGTGGTTCTCATCATTATTTTTCCTCCTGTCTGTCGGTCTCCTGGACACAGTTAGATTTCTGCACTACAGAAAGTACAGAAAACAAAATAAAAATAAAAAACTGTAAAATAAGGAAATATAATGACAAACTGGAATATTTGCATTTCCTGATCAAAATACAGGTACAGAAGTGCTGCTGCAGAATAATAATAGTAATTGCTACATGAAATAAAGAGCCAAGATAACTAAACTACACCTCCAGCTCACTGTACAACTTAGGCAAACATAGGTGAAACGTGTTTAAGTACCATTTGTTTTCTGTTTCTGCAGCTTGAACCTGTGTTCCACATGGCTTTCCCTTCCTCCTTCATGTCCCTGGACGTGTTGTCATTCAGGTAATTTGTTAAGACTTTTAAGAAATTTTAAGAGTAGTGACCAAAATGTGATATTTCAAAATTATTTTGTGTTTCTCCATCTGCAGAAATGGATCAGTCATCAATAACGTGAACCTTCTCTTTGCAAGCACATCTGTTCCTAATAATGTTGAGATTGGGAGGGTTTTGATCAATGATAGTTTAAACGTCACTGGCTTCGACATTGAAAGGAACTCAATCAAAGTGAATGACACCCTATATTCTGATCTACCTGCCCCGACAACAACTACCGAGGCAACCACGACACCTGCCCCGACAACAACAACCGAGGCAACCACGACACCTGCCCCGACAACAACTACCGAGGCAACCACGACACCTGCCCCGACAACAACTACCGAGGCAACCACGACACCTGCCCCGACAACAACTACCGAGGAAACCACGACACCTGCCCCGACAACAACAACCGAGGAAACCACGACACCTGCCCCGACAACAACAACAGAGGAAACCACGACACCTGCCCCGACAACAACTACCGAGGCAACCACGACACCTGCCCGACAACAACTACCGAGGCAACCACGACACCTGGCCCGACAACAACTACCGAGGAAACCACGACACCTGGCCCGACAACAACTACCGAGGCAACCACGACACCTGCCCCGACAACAACAACCGAGGAAACCACGACACCTGCCCCGACAACAACTACCGAGGCAACCACGACACCTGCCCCGACAACAACAACCGAGGAAACCACGACACCTGCCCCGACAACAACTACCGAGGCAACCACGACACCTGCCCCGACAACAACTAACGAGGCAACCGCGACACCTGCCCCGACAACAACTACCGAGGCAACCGCGACACCTGCCCCGACAACAACAACCGAGGAAACCACGACACCTGCCCCGACAACAACTACCGAGGCAACCACGACACCTGCCCCGACAACAACTACCGAGGAAACCACGACACCTGCCCCGACAACAACTACCGAGGCAACCACGACACCTGCCCCGACAACAACAACCGAGGAAACCACGACACCTGCCCCGACAACAACTACCGAGGCAACCACGACACCTGCCCCGACAACAACAACCGAGGAAACCACGACACCTGGCCCGACAACAACAACCGAGGAAACCACGACACCTGGCCCGACAACAACTACCGAGGCAACCACGACACCTGCCCCGACAACAACTACCGAGGCAACCACGACACCTGCCCCGACAACAACAACCGAGGCAACCACGACACCTGCCCCGACAACAACTACCGAGGCAACCACGACACCTGCCCCGACAACAACAACCGAGGAAACCACGACACCTGCCCCGACAACAACTACCGAGGCAACCACGACACCTGCCCCGACAACAACTACCGAGGCAACCACGACACCTGCCCCGACAACAACTACCGAGGCAACCACGACACCTGCCCCGACAACAACAACCGAGGCAACCACGACACCTGCCCCGACAACAACAACCGAGGAAACCACGACACCTGCCCCGACAACAACTACCGAGGCAACCACGACACCTGCCCCGACAACAACTAACGAGGCAACCACGACACCTGCCCCGACAACAACTACCGAGGCAACCACGACACCTGCCCCGACAACAACAACCGAGGAAACCACGACACCTGCCCCGACAACAACTACCGAGGCAACCACGACACCTGCCCCGACAACAACTACCGAGGAAACCACGACACCTGCCCCGACAACAACTACCGAGGCAACCACGACACCTGCCCCGACAACAACAACCGAGGCAACCACGACACCTGCCCCGACAACAACAACAACGAGGAAACCACGACACCTGGCCCGACAACAACTACCGAGGAAACCACGACACCTGCCCCGACAACAACTACCGAGGCAACCACAACACCTGCCCCGACAACAACAACCGAGGAAACCACGACACCTGGCCCGACAACAACTACCGAGGCAACCACGACACCTGCCCCGACAACAACTACCGAGGCAACCACGACACCTGCCCCGACAACAACAACCGAGGAAACCACGACACCTGCCCCGACAACAACTACCGAGGAAACCACGACACCTGCCCGACAACAACAACCGAGGAAACCACGACACCTGCCCCGACACAACAACCGAGGAAACCACGACACCTGCCCCGACAACAACTACCGAGGCAACCACGACACCTGCCCCGACAACAACAACCGAGGCAACCACGACACCTGCCCCGACAACAACTACCGAGGCAACCACGACACCTGCCCCGACAACAACCGAGGAAACCACGACACCTGGCCCGACAACAACTACCGAGGAAACCACGACACCTGCCCCGACAACAACTACCGAGGCAACCACGACACCTGCCCCGACAACAACAACCGAGGCAACCACGACACCTGCCCCGACAACAACAACAACCGAGGAAACCACGACACCTGGCCCGACAACAACTACCGAGGAAACCACGACACCTGCCCCGACAACAACTACCGAGGCAACCACAACACCTGCCCCGACAACAACAACCGAGGAAACCACGACACCTGGCCCGACAACAACTACCGAGGCAACCACGACACCTGCCCCGACAACAACTACCGAGGCAACCACGACACCTGCCCCGACAACAACAACCGAGGAAACCACGACACCTGCCCCGACAACAACTACCGAGGAAACCACGACACCTGCCCCGACAACAACAACCGAGGAAACCATGACACCTGCCCCGACAACAACAACCGAGGAAACCACGACACCTGCCCCGACAACAACTACCGAGGCAACCACGACACCTGCCCCGACAACAACTACCGAGGAAACAACGACTCCTGCTCCAAAAACTGAACCAACAATAACACCTGCTC